TTCGTTCTGGTTCTGACCCACGGAGATAGCTTCTTCCCCAGATGTTGGGGTTAGGGGCGTCCCTGTTCCAAGCTGTGTCTGCTTGTCTCCGTCCCTGGGCCTGTTTACCTCTGCGGTCCGCCGCCGGGCCTGTATGTCCCTGTCAGCTGCCGCTGGGTCTGTCTACCTCTGTGGACCGCCGCTGGGCCTGAATGTCAAGTGTGGTGTTTTTAAGACTGGGCTGTAGCTCAGTTGGTAGAGTGCTTGCCTAGCATACACAAAGCCCTGGTTTCAATCCCCCAGTATTGCATAAGGTAGCTATGATGACTCATGTCTGTAGTGTCAGAAGTCCAGAAGTAGACAGAGGAGGATCAGAAGTTCACAGTCAACCTCAGTGACACAGTGAGTTTGAGGCCAGCCTCATCTATATGAACACCATTTTAAAAGAATAAAAAAAGGCTGATGCTTCTCTCTTTTGTTTTCTGTGTTTTCCAAATTCTTTTGGTAGACAGAAGGAAAGAAATGAATAGTTATTGAGTTCCAGTCATGTACCAAATTTGTATATTAAGTGTCAGTTAGTATTATAAACGAGCATTCAATTTTACTCAGAAACAGTTTTTATACTGTTATCTTTGTGTGCCCTGGATTTCATGACAGTAATATTTACCTAAGGTGCTTTAACCAGCTCTTCAGCGACAGTAAATTATTTAAATTTATTGTCTCCCTCTACGGCCCAAAGCTTTATAGTTTTTGTTTCATTTCTTGTTGCTTTGTTGTTATTGACATTGTCTGAGATACTAAGGCCGGAGCCCAGGACCTTGTCCATGCTAGACAAGCAAGTTCTCTACCACTGAGCCTCCAGGCCTTTGCTGGAGGTTTTATAGCTGTAGATTGTACTGAAAAAGTCTTTCAGCTTTTATATTTGCAAAAGACACTCATGCACCACACACAGCCACAACCAAAGCAGAATGAGAAATAACCAAACCCAGAAGACTGACATGATGATATAGTTGTGAGGATCAGTTCAAAGGATCTATCACTTCATCCTTTGGTTTTGCCTATGTTCTCATCTGTGAGATTAAAACTTTTTTTCATCTTTGAAGCTTTGAATGACACTCTCCTCTACCATCTACATCCATTAAATATCACATGTCTTTGCCACTGCAGAAATTGACAAGCAGACATCCCAGATAGTCCTCCAGATGTTCAAGAGAGCGTTTTTGACTAAGGACAAATTGTTTCCAGTGGTTTCTTTCCTAGATTTCACGCACTGCTGTTAGCTTTCAAAGATGCTTGCTGATCTCTTTTAGGCCTGAGGTAGAGGAAACACCTCCTGATGTTTATTTCTTCACCACAAGACAGTTCAGTGATACTCAGATACCAAATGCAGGCTCCACCCCCAGGTTAGTTCTTGCAGTGGTTGTAGGTTTCAAAGAAAACATTGCTGATGCAGACTTATGAAGTTGCGGATATTTGCAAGTGGGTTAGAGAGTGACTTCGGCCAGCAGATTAGATTCCTGGCCTTGGTCTCCTGGCTATCAGGGAAACACCACCAAGATATTTATTGGCCACTGTTGCCACGAATTCAATGCTCTTAAAAGAGCTCTCTAACCTAGCATTTGCTAAGGGGCCACTAGATGATGGGGCTTGCTAATATCAGTGAACTCTAGGGACATGAGCACATTTAATCACTGCTCTCATTGTAAAATTAATTCGTTGGCCAAAGCTATCCTGTGCTGGCTAGATCTATGTCAGTCATCTGAGAGGAGGGGGCCTCAATTAAGAAAATGTCTCCATAAGATCTGGTGTGGCTGCCGGGTGGTGATGGTGCACACCTTTAATCCCAGTACTCGGGAGGCAGAGGCAGGTGGATCTCTGTGAGTTCGAGGCCAGCCTGGGCTACCAAATGAGTCCCAGGAAAGGTGCAAAGATACACAGAGAAACCCTGTCTTGAAAAAAAAAAAAAAAAGGATCTGGTGTGACAAGCCTATAGGGCATTTTCTTAGTGATTGATGGGGGAGGACCACATCATTGTGGGTGGTTCACTCCTGGGCTGGTGGTCCTGGGTTCTCTATGAAAGGAGATGAATCAAGTCATGGGGGAGCAAGCCAGTAAGCAGCACCCCTCCATGGGCTCTGCATCAGCTCCTGCCTCCAGGTCCCTGCCCTGCTTGAGTTCTTGTCTGGACTTCCTTCGACGATGAACAGTGCTGTGGGAGCATGAGCCAAATAGACCCTTTCCTCCCCAAGTCACTTTGGTTTTGTTGTAGCAATAAAAACCCTAACTAAGACAAATTTCAATTTTTTTAAAAATGTTTTTGTGTTGGGGTTTTAGCTCAGTGGAAGAGTGCTTGCCTAACAAGCGCAAGGCCCTGGGTTCGATCCTCAGCTCAAAAAAAAAAAAAAGAGTCTTTAAAAAACAAACAACAAAAAATGTTTTCATTTAACATATCCAACTATTAAATCTATTAGGATGTATGTTGGTACATAAGGGTAAGTATGACTCTACATGTTCACTTACATGAAAAGATGTTCGGCCTCACTAAGCACCAACACAACGAAAACTAACCATGATGACAGGCTGCTTCACACCTGTGAGCACAGCAATCCCAAACAGAGAGGAGGATCGAGTGTGGTGACGGTGTGCAGCGTGCAGCGCGGGGAGCCTTTGTGCACTCAGGGCGAGGATATAAATTAGGGGAGCCAATGCACAAAACAACATGATGGTTCCTCAAAAACTTGAAAACAGAGCCAACTTTCTTACGAGATGCTTGTAGTCCGACTTCCGGACACATGTGGAAAGGAAATGACGTCAGCATCTTGAAGAGACGTCTGCACTGCTGTGTTGATCGCAGTACTAGTCACAACAGCCACGTCATGTGTCCTGGTTCATGTTTTTGTTACAATAGATACAAGCTGGAAGGGAAGAGGGAACCTCAACTGAGAAACTGACTCCATCAGATTGGCCTGTAGGTGAGTCTGTGGAGTATTTTCTTGATTACGGATTGATGTACTAGGGCCCAGACTATTGGTTGAGGTGCCATCCCTGGGCAGGTAGTCCTGGGTGGTATAAGAAAGCGGGTTGAGTAAGGCATGAGGAGCAAGTCTGTAAGCAGAACTCCTCCCGCTCCTCCATGGCTTCTGTTTCAGCTCTTGTCCTGACTTCACTTCGTGACGGTCTCTGTGTAAGCTGGAGCACACTGTTTCCTGCCTGTCTTAGTCACTGGTCTATTGTTGTGATGAAATACCATAAACAAGGCAACTTATATAATAAAGCATAGAATTGGGGGCTTGCTTTGAGTTTCAGAGGGTGAGTCCATGATCATCACGGTGGGGAGCATTGCAGCAGACAGGCAGGCATGGTGCTGGAGCAGAAGCTGAGAGCTTACGTCCTGATCTGCAGGCAGAAATAGGGAGACTGAGTCTAGCTTGGGCTTTTGAAACCTCAAAGCCCACCCCCAGTGACACACTTCCTCCAACAAGGCCACACCTCTAACCTTCCCAAACATTCCTTTAATTGGAAGCAAGCTTTCAAATGTAGGAGCCTGCTTTGGGTCACAGTGTTTATCATGGCAACAGAATGCAAATTAGGACAACAAAGAAGCAACTGGGCCGGTCGGCCAGATGGATGGATGGATGGATGAAGAAAGCAGGATATCCTCGGGAGCAGAATAGTATACAATCATAAAAAGGAGATGCTGGCATTTGTGGCCAGATTGATTGATTAGCCTGCAAGACATTATGAGTCAAAAACTAAGTGTCAGACACAGAAAGACAGGTCATAGAAGGTCTCTCTCACACACAGAGATTCAAAATAACATCAAGCTGCTGACCCCAGCGGTCCATGCCTGTAATCTTGGTACTCAAGAGGCAGAGGCAAGAGGATTGATGCAGGTTCAAAGCTAACTCAGTCTATATACAGAGTTCCAAGCCAGCCAGGGATGCATAGAGAGACCCTGTTGCAAAAGAAACAAATGAATATAATAAATGACCAAATAAATAGTGATAAACGATCTTGTGTATACTCAGCTTGATTTGTCCTTTGTCCTTATGTTAAAAAGAAAAGGCCAAGATAACAAAGAAGTATAAAGCATTCAGATTGCTCTATCGTGAGAGCAGCTGGATAGAGATGGTCTCCTATGCTGTGGGACTCATTTATCTATCCCAAGTCAGAGCCTGAGAATTACCCATTTGCCTAGAGGTGTATTAAACCAGCTATCTAAATAACCCTTATAATGTTCCAAAATAGAAACCTTCAAAAAAAATTCTTAAAAGTAGCAAAAATTAGTTTTCCCCAAGGGTGAGTCTGCTAATTGATTATTTAGTACCAAGTAATTAGACTTAAAATCATATACATGTTGTATTTATGAATCTAAAGTGTGTGTGTGTGTGTGTGTGTGTGTGTGTGTGTGTGTGGTGTAATCATAAGGATAAAAGAAAAAGAGGCTGTAATTTGAGAGGGGGTTGGGTAGGAACAAGGAATGGATTAAGGAAGGAGTGGAGTGGGAGAAGGGAATTGATGTAAACACAGTATATATATATATATATATATATAATTTTATGTAATTATACAAGTTATATAAATATATAAATACAGTATATATCATTTAAAAATAAATTTAATAAAGATAATTTTCAAAATGGGCTGGAGAGCTGACTCAGTGGTTAAGACTGCCTACTGCTTTTACAGAGGACCTGAGTTTGGTTCCCAGAACCCATGTCGTATGGCTTA